GCAAAGGACTCCGGTTTATCAGTAGTCCTTAATGGACATCTAATTGAAGCATTGACTATGCAAAAGCATTGAAGGCCTAGAAAAGTGTAAAGAGCATGGGTGTGTAAAGAGCTTGAGGTATGCTGAAAGAAATTAAATGTGAAAACAGAATTTTGGAAGTGGGGAAGAATATTAAATTAACCCAATTTTGATGATTGTTTTAAATTGGTGATATGACTTGCATGTGCTGCAGTTTCCTGTAAATAACTGTATAAAGTCAATCAGTTCCAATCAGTTTCAACCCAAAATACACCACAGCTTGACCCAAGGAAACATGCACACAATGTTAGATTTGAACAGAAATTTTCAGGCTTTGTAAAGGTGCCAATGCAAACTTTCCTGCATACCAGTAGAAGAGTTAACTAAGAGCAAACACAGCAAGAAAAATTGTCGTGAATTGAATTTATCTGAGATTTTAAAATTGGCACAGAGCAGAATGTGAACTGCAAACCTCTAGCTTCTTTGGTATGCATAATGTAAATGAGATATGCACTTTCCTTGTTTAAGTTGGATTTTCTTTTTAAGATTGGGGCAAAAATCTTATTGGACACAAAACATGAATGAGTACAAAACCTTTAAGTTTCAGGTGATAAACATTGTTTAATAGGAAAATTTGAATCAGATTTATATGTGTGTTCTTGTGTTTGGTTTAAAAGAGTTTGTAGTCTAAGCACTGGATTTTATTTCTAGGACAAGAACAACTTTCCAGTACTCAAAAAAAAAAACTTACCTTGAAAATAATTACTGGGTCGGGAGGGTCAGCTATGGAAAACTACCTCTCTTTCTAGCAGGGGAGCTATGTGCTACCAGGAGGAAAGGGGGAGATTGAGGGGAAGAGAGCACACAACCTCTTCTGCTCTGCCTGGGCTGATTTGCCTCCCAGTGTTCTGCAGAGCCTTCTAAACCTTTAACCTGACAGGATAGTGGAGGAAACTTTCCTGTGAATGTTTTCTTTCCACTGTGTGGAGCTAGTGGTGTTATGATCTGAAGTTTTGAAGGTGAGGGATGTGTTCTTTATAAGGGACTTATAGCTGTGTATGTGGAAGTACAGAGATACAAAGGCAAAACATGACTTGGCAGAAGTGAGAAGATCAAAGCAGAGCTTTGTATGCTCTGTCTCTGCTTTTTTGATTTTTGATGGTTTGGTCATTTTCCCACAGCTAGATTCCTTGATACAGAAGGGAACCAAGTCCCTGCTGTGCTTCTGCTGTTCCAAAACTAGATGCAATACATAACATCATCTGTTTCTATGTTGAAACTTGGAGCAGACAAGAGGAGAGCAGACTTCTCCCCAGAGGCTGTTTGGATTAGACAAGAAATGGACATTTCCGACCTCTTCATAGGGTAGAGCCACGTATCATAAGGAGACTTGGCAGATGCTGAAGAAAGATGCTTGCGTGGATTTAAAATGTGATTAAATAGCTCTGGATCAAGTAGGAGTGCTGGTTAAGTCTGGCTTTTCTGGAATTTGAGTGCATGTGTCTAGTCAGCCTTAAAAAGGAAAGTAAGTCTTTGATCACGACTTACTTGCGAGTTGGTGTTCTCTGTGGACTTGCCTTACAATTGAACCTGGATGTCTGTTGTAGACAGATGTCTCTAGAATGGATTGGTTGGAAGGGACCTTTAAAGGTAATCTAGTCCAACCTTCCTGCCCTGGGCAGGGACACCTTTCACTAGTCTGGGTTACTCAAACCCCATCCAACCTGTCTTTGAACACTTTCAGGGATGGGGCATCCACAGCTTCTCTGGACAACCTGTTCCAGTGTCTCACTACCCTCATGTTAAAGAATCTCTCCTTTGTATCTAATCTGAGTGTACTGTCTTTTATTTTAAACCTTTAACCCTTGTTCTATCACTGCTGTTCCTGGTAAAACATCTCTATCCATGCTGCTACCTTTTCTGTGTCACCTTCTTTAGTAAAAACTAGAAAGAGCAACCCTACAGTTACAATGCAGTAGTTTGTCAGAAAGTATTTTCAAGTCCTCTAGTCCCTGAAGTGTTGGAGACTGTGCTAGGCATGGTGTCATTGGAAGATGCCTTCAATAATACATTCTCTTAACATAGGCTTGCAAAGGGAAGTAAACAGGCTCACAGTGCAGGTGCTTGGGATAGTGTGTCTCGAGCAATGTCACTGAATGTCAATAGAATCAGAGAATTGTTAAGGTTGGAAGGGACCTCTGGAGATCCAGAAGAATGAGTTAGACCAGAACACTGGAATGCTAGAATAAGAAAGGTGATAGCTAGAGGCAAGCAGAAAACTAACAGTCTGGATTAAACCAACTAGAGAGCAGGAATCTGAGGATGGTTAGAGCAGAGTGCTAATAACACCAAGGATGTTAGTTTGATCCCATATGGGCCATTCAGTTAAGAACTGGACTCGATGATTCTTGTGGGTCCCTTCTAACTCAGAACGTTCTGTGATTCTGTGTAAAGGCACTTCATTATTGCAAGAACAAACCTAGTATGGAGAAGAGCTCCTCTTTGTGGGTGGGGATCAAATTGCATCTGTTGCCAGGATGATAATAACACAGAGAAAAATCTTTATTCTGTATAAAAAAGGCTGAGCACTATTACACAAGCTCCAAAATCATCTGTTCACACTCCATTCCACTATAGAAAATTAGAGTGGCCTCAGAAATGCCATTTCCTCTTGGTAGACAAATCATTTTTGCTCTCTTTCGTTGGATATTAGGACAGGCTGTGAATCTGAATGTTTTAGCTGCTGTAAACAGCAAGATTGATGTCTGAGAACATGAAACCTGTCTGCACAGAGATGGCATCTGTAAGATACAAGATAGAATAATGGCCTGGTTTTTAAACTTTCTCTCATTGCCTTAATGCTTGGGTAGAGTGCATCTGAAATAAGTCAGGATTTGTAATGCTTCCAGCCTTTGGACAATTTCCAGACTGTACGAAAGGGGATACCTCGTCTGCTTCTACTCTATTTGAGAGTACTCAAACTGCCAAACTTAAGCATGCAGCAAAAAGCTCAGCATAAAAATGGATTTCAGTGGATTTCATTCTGATTCAGAGATCAGATCATGATCCACAGCAGAATGTAAAAGACTGATGCCCTCAGAATAACTGGAGAAAAAGAAATTGTCAGACTTTAATGATGCAGAAAAGGAATTAACTAAGGAGAGGAGGAGAAAAATCACCTCCTCTTTTGGAAGACTGAATGGAACTTGATCTCTTGTACACAGAAACCGTAATTATTAAGGTCTCTGCAAATACTGAGAAAATTTATAAGACTGCCTTCAGAAATGTCATAAAAGTACCTTGCTTGGTTACTGTTATATTCTTAGTCTCTGTGTTCTCTAGCTTGTGTTCTTCCTGAATAGAATTATGAACTCTGGATCTTATTTTTTGACTAGTTCTGCAGAGTAATTTCTTACCATTAAGGGACATCTGATCAAGACAGAAACTAATCATGTGTCTAAATATTTGGTTACAAAGCTTTTTCCACATTGCACTATAATTGACTGTCTGCATAAGTATACAATAAGCAGGTCCCAGTAGCTTCCAGATGTGGGCAGATGTTAGAAAAAACTAATACAATAGTCAGTATCAGGTGGGTTCAGAGGTAAACTACAAAATAAATGGATATTGTAACAGATTGTCAAACTAGCTCTGGTAAGTACTTGATGGCAATCCCACTGTCTAAAGATCATGAGGAAAGAGGTATCTCTTGTTCTCAAATGATTATTTTGGTTGTTATGCTCTGAACATCTAGCATCTTCCTGGGCCTCATAAGAACGTTGGTTCAGTTATAATCCAATCTTGCACATGCCTGTTGACATCTGATGGGGAGCACAAAACTTCAACCAGTGTTGTGCATTTTGTGTAGCCAAGGAAGGAGAAAGTGGAACAGATGCAGCTCGAATCATGCAGGAACCCTTTTTCTCAGTAGATGTAATTGTCACTGCTTTTTGTGTAACCTATGGGCTTTGTGACACCTTTAGTCTATCTGCACAGTGATATTAGCAGATTTTGAATAAAGAAAAAGTGCAGTACTGTATAAAGTTCATTACTGCAGGTCCTCTTACAAGAGGGCATGTGGCAGGGAAATAAAAGAAAGTGTAACCAACAGGGTTAGGAAAGGAGAAAGGAAAGTAGAAGTGAAATAAAACACTGGAGTGTAATCCCTGGATCGCTCGTTGGAGCACATGTGTTAAGGCTGATACAAGCTGAGGTTTGCCTTTCCCCTGCAAACAGCAGGACTTGCCACTACTGACAAGTTATATGCTCGTTCCATAACTTGAAAGGAGGAGCTATGGAAGCATTGACACACTCTGTCTGTTATGGAGAAATAGAACATGGAGACATAGGTTGCTCGTGGTCACTTTTGGAAACAGGCAATTGAATAAATGTACCATAAAGATTATGAAGCAGCATCCCCAAAGGGATATGGCAAGCATATCCCTCTCAGTTACTGTTTGTAGAATTACTGAGCTTCTTCCCCATCTGAATCCAGTCCAGATGAGTCACTCCACCAACTAAAATGCTGCCCATTGGCCAATTTAAAGACTTTAATTTCCTAGGGGTTAACCTGCATAAAGGACCTTTTCTTTTACCCAGACCTCAGGTTGAGGACTGGCCCTGCTCTGCTGTCAGTGTAATGGATTACTGGGTGCTGGGTTAGATTGGGTAGCTGGTAGATTTGCAGTCAATAAGTTGGTCTCCAGGGAGCCATATAGGATATAAGTTAATCATGTAAGGCATTTTCATAAAAAACAGACTGTTCAGAAAGATTTTGGAGTAGCTTTTCATTTTTTGTTCCCATGGTTTTTGGAATGTTAATTCTTTTGGTTTTCATGCTCAAAGAAGAAAATGTCACATGACTTTCTGATGCTTCATCTGATTTTATTTTAGCTTTAAGATACAGCTGTGCACAGATTACAGAATATACTCCCTGGCACTGAAGAATGACCAGAGAAGAATAAAGATTAGCAGCTACTGAGGATACTTTAAATGTCAGCTTTTATGTCTGATCTCAAGGGAGGAACAGGTCGGTTCTTTCTTCATGGTGAAGCAGAAGGCAGAGAAACCAAGGGATTTTTTGGGGGATAGATATTCAGTTTTATTTTGTGTTGGGTTTTATGAGTAGATTTCACTCAACAACTGCATTTTTAAGTGTTCTTGAATTTGCGAAAGAGAACCCTTAAAACAATAAAAGGAAATATCCCCCCAATCCACCATTCTTTTCTGCTACCCCACCCATGAATGGACTGGGCATTCTTTGGAGTTATCATCTTTCTCTACTACTTTATAAGAGCAGGTCTCCTTGTTGAAAATGCTTTCACACTTCTCTTTATCGTAGTCAACTGGTGTTGCATAGCTGTCATTGAGAAAAGAAAAAAAGGTGATGAGAACAAGGAGTAAACAGCTTCCACCTCAGATGGTATCTACACCTTTAATATGAAGAGGCTATACTGAGGAGATGTTTGGGAGCAGAAAAGAGAACTTGCAGAAGGCTCCCAGCTCAAATGTTACTTAGACTGCTGCTTAAGCAGGATGAGGGCACAGATGTAGTTTACTGATCTGATTTACACGTAAGGGATGTTTGTTGTTTTTCCTTGCTATTCCCATATCACTGCTTTTCCTCTTGGAAAAGTGGTTGGGTGTCCCTGTAGGAAAAATTACAGATAGTCCAATGTATTTTGAGCTGCTTCTCAGGCGAAAGCGGGACAATGTGTGGCTTTGGAAAGCTCTGGACTAGGATTAAGAGGAATTTCTTAAGGAACTACGTGTTCTCTCTTGAGTCAGTACAAACTTACCTGAAGTTTTCACCTCAAGAAGAATTACATTCTCTTTTTATTTTAAATCAAGAATCTTTTGTTAAACATGACCTATATTTTTCAGCTGAAATTTTTGCATGTTCAATGATGATGGTGTTACACGAATGCATAAGTTTGTGATATGAAGTGAGTGAGAGAAGGGTCATGGTCATTTCTCAGGAACCCCTGTGTGAAGGGGAGTGGTTTGTGCTGTATCATGGCAGCAGAGAAAACCCCCCACTGCTGCTCTGCACTCACCTGGAGCAGCAGCGAATTCCACCCCTGGAAGAGGAGCAATCACTGCAGTCATCTGTCCTCCATTGGGAACCAAATTCATGTAGCTTTCCTTCCGAGTCAAGGCAGCCTGAAAACAGTGTGTGTGAGCAGCCTACAGTGTCAGACCCTTGCACCAACAGCAGTGCTGCTTGTAAACAATGGGTGGGACCTTTGCTGGCTTTTTACATGAACCTCCCCATCTGCTAAACGTGGAGGTTCCCCAGCAGAGCAGGGTGTGCTTTTGTAATGCAGGGAGAAGAGAGTCCTGTGTCCCTCTGTTTTCAGTGGTTCTTGGCAGCATTAGTTCGTGCAGCCCATGCTACTTCCCTGGACAAAATTAGTTTGTAATTTGGTCCATGTGATTCTCCCTAAATAACTTCTTTTTATAATATATTATAAATTCTTCTCTTACCATACCCCATTTCCCTCCCATTTCCATTGGTTTCTTTCCACTGTTTCTACTTATTTCTAAATGGTGATAAATTGCACAGAAGGGACAAATCAAATCAGGCAGTGATTCTGAAGATGGCTGTCAAATTGAGAGCTGTTGACATCTTACCTACAGTCACACCATCAGATATCCCTGGCTTGCATGCCATAAGGAAGCAAGAAGCATCAGACAGTGGCACGCTAATGGCGAGAACAAGAAGGCAGGGCAAGATGGTTTTCTGAACAAGAAAACACAATTCATATGAATGCTTAAGTAACTATTAAGATGTCTTGATGATAATTACTACCATTCGAAACAGGCAAATACATTGTGGTTTCAAATCAAAATCCAATTGTCCTTTACAGTTTAAACACTTTAACACACAATCAGGAATACTGAACCATTTAGAAGAAGCAGAGGCTGGGCATCATATGGAAAGGGGGAAAAAAAAAAAAATCTGTGTTTTCAAGCTGTTAAAATCAAGCATTGCCCAATAACAGGACTGATAGATCCAGATACTGTTTGTGAAAAAAACATGTTCTATTCCTTTCCCCTCCCCATTAATTTTTCTTGTCCCTTTTTATTCCATAGGATTGGTCACTGATTGTTTCTTTCACTAACCTCACTCACAGTTGCAAAAACTTTTTCACTGGAGTCTAAAGAACTACCAAATGTTTCACCTTAATATTGAAGGATTAGGAACAAGTTAAATAACTTTAGCTGAAGTTGAATACTCAAGACTTGGCCCTACTTTAGACAGGAGGTTCGACCAAATGAGTTGCAGGTGTCCCTTCCAACCTAAATAATTCTATATGTTGTGACATTTGTCAGCGTTTTTTTCTGAAATTTCGGCTGAAGTTCCTCAGCTAGTGGCTTATCCTTCAATATTAGTTTGAAATGTTTGGAGGGCTTCCATTGGGGATATAAAGGAAATAAGTGCAAGAATTCCAGGATGTAATTAGTTGTGATTAATATAAAATCTTGGTTATATAGGAAAAGTAGACCAGGAATAAACAGTTACATACACACACATATGTACATGTGTCTGTTTCAGACAGAACTGGTGACTTATAAAAAGGAGTTGTCTCTGAGAGATGAGAGGAGGAAAACCTAGCATTTTGTCTCATAGAAAAGATTAAAACTTACAAAATTGCAACAGAGTAGCAAAGGAGTAAAACTGAAGATAACAGTTCTGAGTTTAACTAAATATTCAGATGTTATCCAGACTTTTCACAAAAATGAAGGCCAATTCTAGCTTGAGAGACAACAGAGCTGCTTTCTGCCAGAAAGAGATTAGCTCCAAAGATTACATGAAGAGTGAAAAGAAGTTATAATAAAGCCTTAGCTGGAGTCCTGTTACATCTCCTGCCATTTACATGCTGATACGCTTTATGCAAGGTTCTTACCTGCCTATGCTTCTCTGTCTTATGCTTGTTCTCATAACACAGAATTTATACATTCTCCAAGTTGCTTAGATCACCAAGTACTGAGATAAATTCAACAGAAATTCCTTTAAAATCTATAGCAACATACCATAGCCTTTTACAGCATAAGATGTAAGGACTCACCATTCTTGCAAAAGTATGAGTCTTCCAGTAAGGAGATGGCCTGTAGGAAGCTCATGTTCTCAGTGAACTTATATAGAGAGGGAATTTGTGATAACAGTCCTTGAGCAAACTGACCATGAAAGTCTAACAACAATGATGTTTCTGTAAAATGACCTCATGGGGAGGACATTATTAACATAAGGCAGTTACATACAGGAAGGTTTGTTTTAACAGGCATTGAAGAAATAGGTGTGCCTTTTGTGCCACATCAGATCTGGAAAGCAGTTATAGGAAATACGTTGAAAGGAATTTCAAACTTGGAAGGAATATTTAGCACTTGCCTTGAGAAACCCATTAGAGACATAGTAGTTGTCACTCACAACAAAATTTGCATGCATAGTTTGAGCCATCTAGGTTTTAAAAAGTGGGTTCTAGGTAACCGTTTTCTTCCTTGTTCGGTTTTTGATCATGTAGAAGATTCATATGTTCAGGTCTTCTATGAAAAAATAAGTATTGTATATTTTCTGTCTTAATCCTTGTAGGCAGGAAGAAATAGTCCTTCTTCCATAGAGTCTGGATATGTCAGGGACAGACACACTCTCCAAGTGCTTAGGACATCAATTTGATAGCAAAGGAGTCAAGTACGGTCCCCTTTTGCTTTGGTTCAGATATTTCAAACTATGTAGCCCTTCTTGGTGATGAAATCTTTCCCTTATTACCAGAACTGTACAGGTTGCAATGTCTGAAATAACTACTCTGACTGCCTAACTGTGTTGTCTTGTTGTGTGGGTTTGGGAGTAGAGGTTAAACTCCAATTTGGGTTGGCTACTCCACATCTTCTACCCAAAATCCAGAGTTGAGAACTAGCTCAGGAAGTCCATGTGAGAAAGCCAGCATTATGACAATGTAGGTTACAGTGAGACCACTACCCACAGGGACATATTAGCTGGCTTTCAACTCAGTAGGTTGGGTAGACTGTTTTTTCTTCAGTTACTAGATCATTCTTCGCAATGCAGAAAAGAGATTAAGCACTTAGAGGTTTGATAAAGCTGCCCACAATCAGCCTGTCACTAGTGAATTAGATTTGGCAATGCTGATGTATGCCCTGCCTTGAAATGGGCACAGCCATATGGCTCATGCTCTTGACTCCTAGTCACTGGTAAACCAACCAAACATATCAGCCCATGAGTGCAGGCACTAGGTATTTCTTTACTGAAATCAACAGAGCCCACATATCCACTTTGGATCTCTCAGAAATATGTATGAAGCCAATTTAACAGCATCATTGTGGTTTGTTTCACTGTCAGTGTTTCAGACCATGTGCATCTTCCAGTTAAAGAGGGGGGGGAAAAAGTCAGAGTAGGATAGCAAGGTATTACCCCTGATCCCAGGCCAAAGCTGCCTTGGTTGGTTGCAGTGAAGACAGGGAGAATTCATAGTCTCCCTTCTCATGTTCTGCTCCTATGCTGCCTGATCTAATTGATTTACATCTTGGGATGCCCGAGGATATGCCCTAGCTTTGTGTGCCAGCTCTTTCTAACCTTTATGTGCTGAAATTAACTATTTCACCTTGGCTGACAATACTGTGAGAAGTACCAGAGAATCCTGTTCAAGGTATTGGCTCCTCCACGTCCTCAAAGGTAATCTGGAGCAAACGTTCCAGGACATTTTGAAACAAAAGGACCAGCAAGTTGCACTGCCTTTATTCTGTTAATACTACTGAACTATTTAATTTTTTTTTCTTCTCACATTTTGGCCTTTGCATGCAGCATTTTGCTTGACAGGCACCCTGCAGCACCCTGCAGTTCATGAACAAAAATCACCAGTCACATAGTGATGCTGGTGTACTGGAGTGAAACTTATGGAATTTGTTACAGTCAAAATGCAGTCAACTTGCTGGTTTGGTGTTAAGTGATAGAGGAAGCATTTGTTGCTCAACTCCAAAAAAACCCCAAAAATCCAACCACTGTACATATGTTTTCTTTCTCAGCTTTCAGACAAGCAATGACTGCCCAGCTGTTCCCATTGCAGGACCCCCCGTGTTTTCTATGTGCAAGCTATTCCATGTATGGAGAGAAGTTCTTTCAAGCAACTTTCTTTGGAACACAGCAGGGAATGACCTGGCTAAGCCTAGGCACTGTTTAGGGACAAAGAAAAAAACTCTTTGCATGATCTGTGAATTCAGAGGAAACCTAACAACATGCTGTGCTGAAACCACTCATAGCAGCAAATTCTATGTAGATAGTTTTGTATTGATTATTGAGATCATTTGTGACCCATATAATGTTGCATGTCTTCATGTTGTTCGTGTACAGGGCTGATGGATACCTTGCTTGTGTGGGGAACTGGTATCTCTAACAGGTGTTGCTCTGTTAAAATCTGGTTGGCTTCCCAATCAGATAATTACTTACTAAATCATTCTAAGAATATCACCGCTCTGCCCACTTCTGTGTCCTCTTTCTGCTTAGGCTGATGGACAGAGTGTTCTCTTCCTTCCTAAGGCAGAGAAAACTCCTGGAGACTCTCTTGAAGATTTACCTTGCTATTTTATTTAGTCATTCTTCAGCTGGAGTTTCTGGTTACATCTCATTAATGACCACAGAGATAATCAGAGTAATGCAAGGTGATCAACCTGTTTTCCTGTATCTTTCAGTGCTAGGCAATCAGCGGCGAGAAATACAGGATGATTTCAGAGCAGTAATGTTATTAAAACAGCCCAGTAAACCAGCTATTATCTATGGACAACTGAAAGCTAGAAGAGATACAGTAAAAATGAAAGCAGTCCAAGAACCTTATTTCTTAGCCCAGTATGTCAGTACTACTCTCACATTCATGAGAGGGATCAGTTTTCTTTGGAAGAGAATAAGTGCAGGACCCCTTATAGCAGTTTGTGTATCCAGTCATTAAAACCAATAGGTTGACTATTACCACTACTGGAAAGGGGAAAACAAGAGGAAGAGTGAGGCATATCAGCTTACAGATCGTAAGTAAACACAAGGGTATAAATAAATTCTTTTTGACCTTAAACTGACAATGCTACCTATAATGTAAATTGGTTTTACAGTTGTTAAATAAAGTCTGTCACATTTGTGTATGAGAAAGGACAACTGTGTTAAGGAAAGGCACAGCAAACAACACTAAAATATACAGTGCACTGTTGACACAGAAACATCTTGTAAAGGTGGAGAAAGAAGCTTTATCTTGGTGGGGACATTTTTGTTAACTCTGAGGTTCACGTGTCCACAAACTTCAAAGCCTATTATGCCCTCAGATCTCTCAAGGCATAGGAATTAGCAAAGAATCATATTAATTTTATAGCAAGGCGGTGTGAGTGACTTGCCTCAGGTAACAGATGACATAGCAAAAATTCAAGTTGAGGTCTCAATTCAAGATGGGAGGCTCAAGCTGGAGACAATATCATTTCTCTTCTGATCTTAACATATCTGTCTCCTTCCATATGTAGAAAAGTCACCATCCATGAGTCAAATTTCAGTTTTAATTCAATGCAATTTCAATGGAATAAGAAACAATTTTTCATCTCAGTGCAAATGCATTTTTAAAGCGCGTGACAATTTCTCAGCCTGGAAAATCCTGTCAGGTCATGATCCCAGGATGAAGGATCAGTGATAAGCAAGGAACATAGAGACAGACAAGAAGTTCTAAAGAGCCAACAACAAATGCAGGCTGTGTTTGCAAGGAGGAGACCTCCATCTCTGAAGTGTGAGTAGATCTAAGGGAGATGGCCACAGATACTATACCAGTGAAAACAGAAGTCCAGAGGCAGTCAAACAAAATGAATAGGAGTGACAGATTTAACCAAAAAGATATCTCAGCTTAGGGGAACTGATTCCAAACACAGCTTGTCATCTTGACCCTGCAGCTGATTAAGCAAATGAAGACCATAAATCTATGATAAACTAAAGTCTTCTTGTGGAACTGTGACTTAAGGAGTTAGCTATAGGAAGGGTGGCAGGTGGGTGCATTGCTATAGTTCCTTTCACTAGTGCCTCTGGCTTTGTGGAATTTAGGTGGTGCAGTGGTGGACCTTGCTGTGGCTGCACTGGCATTGGAAGCTTGCCTTTGGTCCTCCAGGTGGTCTTTCGTCTGGTCTTATCCAGTCTTATCCAGTCTTATCTGGTCTTTCGTCTTTAACACAAGCTGCACATGCATGCACAAAATAAACTGTCAGTTACTTAGTTCTGCATCCTCTGGGCTTGTATTTGGGGAAGCTCAGTTAATTTTATGTGTACCCCACCTACACTGTATTTCAGCTCTATTTAGAAAGCATGAGCTTGTTTCCATTTTCTCAACTTGTTAGTCACTGATTCCATGAAGATAAAATGCAGTGGTTGGATATTATTTTCTCATGAACTCAGAACAGACTGGGCTAGGGAGAGCAGCCACAGAATCCTTCAGCCAAATCCAAGGGATATCTTGGCTGTTGGAATCTTTTTTTCTTCTCCGCTGTTTTCCAGAAACAGAAATCCTTCTTCCTCCCGTTTCTTGTCTTACACCCTTCCTGTATGTTCGAGATGGGCAGCAACTAGAACAGGACACCAAGAGATCTGTTGTGACTTGTATCTCTGACAGTTCTCACCAGAATGGCACTTGGGCTGTTTAGTTCATAATAACAGTGTGCATTATGTAGTGGTGTGAAGAAGTAAGCCCAGGAAACCTTGCTGTAAAAGCCCTACGGTGTCTTGGACAACTTCTTCAAAGTAATTTATCAGATACCAAGAACAAACCTGTGCTAGGAGAATTGCTTTCCCCCTCTTTGAGAAAGCAAACAGGAATCACCGCCTGAAAGGGTATGAAATGTAACAGACTTCATGTAATGTTTTTCACAAAATGACAGCTAGCATGTTATTTTTGTAAGTCCTTAAAATGTGAAATAGGTTGCAGCTTAAAAACATGTGTGGTATTGCCATGACTCTCTGATCCTATATATGTCACTGATTGAATCTGAGTTCTATAAAATCTTGAGAATCTGAAATTTGGACTTACTATGACAATAATGTGTTGTTTCTGAGGAGCTCCTGTATGGCCTGTCTGTTGTTTCCCGCAGGGATGGATATAAAAATGGCAAAATCTTATTCTCTGATGTCTTACCAAGCAAATAAAGCACAAAAGTATTTCTGGTTTGGAGAGGTCCTATTGGGATTTCTGAGGAAGTTACTGAAATTCAACAAGTTTTTGTCTAGTTTCACATAAAAACATAATCAAAGAATATGCCAAGTTGGAAGAAACCCTCAAGGATCATGGAGTCCAATGCTTAGCCCTGCACAGGACCATCCCCAAGAATCACACCATGTGCCCAAAAGTATCATCCAAATGCTTCTTGAACTTTGTTGGGCTTGGTGCTGTGACAACTTCCCTGGGGATCCTGTTCCAGCGCCCAACAACCAGCTGGTTGAAGAACCTTTTTCTAATATCCAACTTAAACCTCCCCTGACACAACCTGAGGCCATTCCCTCAGGTCCTGTCACTGGTCACCACAGAGAAGAGATCAGTGCCTGCCCCTCCTCTTTCCCTGACCAGGAAGTTGTGGACTGCAATGAGGTCTCCCATCAGTCTCCTCTTCTTCAGGATGAACAGACCAAGTTCAGCCACTCCTCATACGGCTTCCCCTCAAGGCCTTCACCATCTTCTTTGCCCTCCTGTTGATGCTCTCTAAGAGCTTAATGTATTTTTAATATTGTGGTGCCCAAAACTGCATATAATATTCAAGGTGAGGCCCTCCCAGTGCAGAGCGGAGCAGGACAATCCCCTCCCTCAACTGGCTGACGATGCTTTACCTGATGCTCCCCAGGAGATAGTTGGCTCTCCCGCCTGCCAGGGCACTGCTGATTCATATATAACTTGCTGCTGACCAGGATTCCTGCCCTGAGAATGCTCAGCTGTGTGTAACCTCATACTTTTACAACACAA